TTTTGTGAAAATCAACCCAAAACTGACAGACAAAATGGCCGCCCTTCGTTCTCAAATAGCGTAAAAAATATGGTATATCAAGAATGTGGACCCTATAGAGGTCATAATTTTTATCCGATTTTGTTGAAACTTGAAATGTAAGTTTATAACCCAAAGATCTCGGTTCCTTTCGATATTCGCACATATCAAACCATAACTTCCTGAATTATGGCCCCTGGTTGTACGAAAAGTCGCGTTTTTAGCTTGTGGGCCCAATAGAGGTCATACTTTTTATCCGATTTAAAAAAACGTATAATCACCGTTACACCCTAAGGATGGTTGAGTTCGAATTTCGTTATTTCCAGCCTTGCATATCGGATTGTAACTTTCTGAATTATGGCCTCTGATTGTACGAAAAATCACATTTTTAGCTTGTGGTCCCTCTAGAGGTCACAATTATTATCTGATTTAAAAAAGCGTTCAAATATATCACCGTCACACCGTAATGTTTATTGAGTTCGGATTTCGTGAAAATCGGGTCAAAACTGCTGGACAAAATGGCCACCCGGTGTACGCAAATAGTGTATAATATCTCGAAAAAATCAAGGTTGTAGACCCTCTAGAGGTCACAATTTTGATCTGATTTTGATGAAACTTAAATTACATGTTTATAACTCAAAGATCTTGGTTCCTTTCGAAATTTGCGCGTATCGGATCGTAACTTCCTGAATTATGGCCCCTGATTGTACAAAAAGTTATGAGCGTGTCCACGAGAGCACCATGCAGAAATTGAAAAAAACGATAACCCGGGGGGTCAGCAAATTTCAACCATACTTGGTCTATGGGGACCCCTAGGCGACAGAAGTCACATGATGAAGTGAAAAAATTTTGAACGGACAACTTCCGGTATAACTGGAAATTGTTGTTTTGGGGCAAAAGTTGACATATTTCGACCAATTTGTTACCCTAATTTCAAAACGCTCCTACCCGAAATGTTGTGTCTCTATATTTTTGATATTGGTCAGGTATGATAGGCCTAGTAGTCGTCTTAAAATCCTGCAGTTGTTGGGAATGAATGAATTGTGTGGAATTTTCTGTGAGTGATCATAAAGTGGTCATTTTACATATGTTTAAAACTATGCTATCCTAAAACGCATGTAGCTGCTTCTTTGCAGGTCTGACATAGAATTGCTTGGTGTGGTTGTGAAGGGCATTTCTCAAAGTAAATGTCAAAAGAAAAAAACTGACCGGAACGCAACCCACTAGAGTGCTGTAATATTCTGAAAATGTGTAAAAACGGTATTTTCCACGAAATTCGTCTTTTCACTGATAACCGACTACTATTTTCAAGAGTTCAAATGACCGTTGATTATGAACATTAGTACTATTTTTTGTTACTTGAACGTTCCTTGTGCCAAATATACTATCTTGGTTAAAAATCATGAAGTTTTTGTGACAAAATCGGACGTTCGCGGTCATCGTAGGAAGGGGGCTTACTGGTGTATAATTTTGCAGGATCAGGCAACGATTATTCTCATCTGTATTCAGTAGTTAGTAGCACGGAAGTGCATAAATGTAAGGACTGGCATAGCAAGCTTTTATATTAGCACAATTTAACCAAAGCAGCACCTTTTCAGCAATGACCAACGATTATATTCAAATGACTACTGATCATCACCATTACTTGTAATATTTCGTAATTTCAACGTGAATCGTGTCAAATAGATCATTTTGTTTAAAATCATAATATTTTTGTGACAAAATCTGACTTTCATGCTTGCTTGATAGCCATAGGGAAGAGTCATAAGTGGTGTGTAATTTTGCAGGGATCAGACCACTGTTATTAAGATCTGTATTCATGAGCAGATCATCGTATAAATTTGACTGACATGACTATCATAAACTTGATATCTATTAATTTGTACACCTGCTCATGTAAAGAAGAAACATTGAGAAGTGTTCATGTATGGACATTTAATGTCTGGTATTGAAATCTCTGAAGGGAAAGATAGATCACAACAGGATTTATGGCACTCCAGGATAATGTTGACCGCATGTGCCAAACTCCTACATATACCTACGTTCGAGCAGAAGTGCTCACTTACTTAGATTCCTACGTTCGAGTGTAAATGCTCTCTGACCTTCCTTCAAGGTTTTTGGACCACAGAGTACTGTTTTATTTTGTAGTACTGTTTTTGACCTTTTCTCCTTCAGGGATTTCAATATGGAATTATCATAGCCTCCCGATCTATAATGCCTCTCCATGAAAACGCCCAAATGTTTCTATACAATGATCAGCTCCTAAATACAGATGGGAATAAGCTGGTCTGATTCCTAAAATATGTTTGACCAAAATAACCTATTTGACACAAGGAACATTGGTAGAAAAGGTGTTGTATAGTCGTCTTGCTGATTGTGTGACTACGACTTACTGTCACTGGATCATCTACAATCCCCTCGTCCTTAAAACCTGTTACAAGAGCGAACAGGTACATCCCTCAGAAACACTTCTTTTACCCAAGAGCTAAAATATGCTTACACTGAATCGTGTATCATATTTCACCTTTCATTATATCATATTTATAGAAGACGATTTGTTCTGTTTAAATTGCATTGGACATTCATGAAACTTGTCCCTGGTCTAACACATAGACTTTAGATCCTAAGGTCTGTCATTGAGTTAAGTGGTGTGACAGCATGCTGGTGACATGGTGTGGTGTTGTTTGTCCAAGCTCATGGATATTCTCTTTTCCCACAAGTGTATTATTGAAGTAAAATTGTACCATATGTTAGTCCCAAAATGACCTAGTTTGTGTTGAGTGGACCTTAAACCCCATTTCTCTCTCTTAAGTCAAAATCACCCTTGCTAACGAATATATTAACTTTGTGATGATGTCCATAGATACAGTATGCATCACCATTTTATGCTAGTCCCAAAATGACCTACTTTGTGTCCAGTGGACTTTAAATCTCATTTTACTTTGTTCCTCTCATGTCTAAATCATCCTTGCTAACGACTAAATGGAATATATTAAATTTGTAAAGATGTCCATACATATACTTCATCTGGGGTATTGATAGACGGGACATTTTATCCTAATTTTTGGTGTTTTTAATACATTTCTCCTGTTTTTATTATGACTGTTCCGGTCATTTTTATTTTTTATTTTGTTAGTAGGAAGGTTGCTAGTTGTGGGTAACATTCAACTTTGGTCCTAGTCCCTGCAAAGAACGAGCTATAGCCTCTTAAACATTGGTTTTCATTAAATTCAATTTTCAGAGAGAGTTGGGTATCCGGCCAGTACCAAGGTATCATTAGCAGTAGAAACTTCAAACTCAGTGTGAAGGAGGAACCTGAATGGTCCTACTAATGCCCAAAATTTTGTCTATCCAAATCAATTATTGTCCGAATAGCAGGTCATTCAAATTTGGATCCAAAATTGCCTATTTTTGGCTTATTTTTCGATTAAAAAATACTTTTCCAATTTTCCAGGTCGGTATCAACTGAATCAATCTAATATTTTGTGGGGATGTAGCTGGGTACTAACCCATCTCACAGAAAAAATTTGGTCCAAATCCCTGACCCAAGGGTTATCACCCCCTGCATGGTGCTCTCACGGACACGCTCTTATGTTTTTATCTTGTGGTCCCTGTAGAGGTCACAAATTTTATCTGATTTAAAAAAAAAACAAAACATGTGAATATATCACCATTACACACTAAAATCTTGGTTCCTTTTGATAATCGCGCATATCCGAACTAACTTCCTGGATTATCGCTCCTGATTGTTCGAAAAATTGCATTTTTAGATTGCAGATTCTCTAGAGGTCACAATTATTTTTTTTTCCGATTTTAAAAACCATTTAAATATATCACCATTCCACCATAATGAAGGTTGAATTCGAATTTCGGGAAAATCCAAATTAAACTGCCTGAAAAAACGGCCGCTCTTTGTACGCAAATTATATAAAAGTGTGCAATACGAAGGTTGTGGACCCTCTAGAGGACATAATTTTTATCCGATTTTGATGAAACTTAAAACACATCTTTATATCCCCAAGATCTCAGTCCCTTTTGATATTTGTGCATTTCAGACCATAATTTTCTGGATTATTGCCCCTGATTGTACAAAAAATCCTGTTTGTTTTTAGCTTGTTCTCTATCCATCTCTTGCAAAATGTGGGCGTATCCTGCCTGGCAGCCACAGGTTAATTTCATTATAGATTGTTTTAGGAGTAGATAGTGACACAGTATCTTTAAGCAGTAAAGGGTTAGACCTGATGATTTGAGTTCACAATTGACTGTCATGTTGAGAAGACTGAACAAAACAATAACACCAAACTTTAGCATGCTCCACTGGTCACTATATGGTTCAGTTTAATGGATGGTTAAACACAGATATTCAGCTGAAAGATTTTATTTTTATCCAAATATCCTACCAATAAACATCCAAATTGTCACAAAGTTTATCAAAAAATGATGCACTGGTATATGAGTAACGTTTTAGACATAAAATATCCAACTAAAAATATATAACCTTGCAGAAAATGCAAAAACTATCGCAGAGCTCTGAGTAGCAGCCTACACGCTCAACTCAGTCTAACACTAGGCCAAAAATAGTAATTTTGCATATTTTTAGACCAGAACACTAAAATTGACATACTGTGATAAGTGGAATCAGAATGATAAAAATGAACAAGTTTTAAAGAAAATCTGCTTAAAATGGATTTATTTGAAAAAATCAAATGATCTTATTTAAAACAACGGCACTTGTCCACCTTATTGCACTAGAATCCCCAATTTGGTTAGAAAAATTGGGATCATAAGTGGATGAACCATAGAGATCAGATTTCTTCATGGATCCTAGATCCTTATCAAATTTTATCAACATCCAAGTTTTCTGTTTGGATAAGCTGCAGTTGAGACAAGGCTGCTGTGGATGGCATATTCCACGCTATCTTTCTTTAATTTACACAAACTGTTTGATATGATGTTTATATATTCATATATATTGTATATAGTTATTAGAAACTCAACAACAGTTAGCTATAGCCATATCAACGGACAAGAAGAAAGATATTATGATTGAACAGTTAGATAAACAACTAGCAAAAGTTGTGGAAGGATGGAAAAGACGAGAAACAGAGAAAGATGAATATCTGAAAGTCTTAACGAAGGAAAAAATAAAAGTTGAGGATAAACTACAAAAACAACAAGTGGTATGTTAATTTTATGCAATTAGAACCATTTCATCAAATTGTGATGAATGTAGAGACAGGGAACAAATGGAAAAAGATTGAAGATCCAAAAGTAGTCAAAAGCTTGAATATTGAGTTTCCTAAGCATACACTGTAGCACTTTTTAAATCAAAAACTGTTTGCTCTTTGAGTTGAGTTTCCTAAGCATACACTGTAGCACTTTTTAAATCAAAAACTGTTTGCTATATAAACCTGCACAGGACAACATTCCTGCAGAAGCATATTATTCTCCTCTATTCACAACACTGGTCACAACGTGTAGCTATGAGATCAATTTTAGCAGAGTTCACGGAAGCTAGATCAGGGATCTTAATCGGCTGTTTTTTGTTGGTTTTAGCCGCTTGATGTTCAATCAAGCCGATGGGTAAAACAATGAACTGGCCTCTATGGTATCATAAATCAATCTACTTTTGGCTAAATTACAACAGGTTAATTATAACTTGTTAATTAAAAAGTCAATCAACTTGATTGTCATCTACAGTGATAATCAGCCATGTGGTTCATAATCCGAGTAATTAGGATATTTAACGGTAATTTTGATAATCCAGTCAGGGTTTCCACCAGAAAAATATTGAAGGGGGGTACAGATCATCGGGGCCCCAAAGGCGTCTCGTGCGCGCCGTAGGCTCTTTGCTGATTTTTTTCAGGAACACTGGAAATGCGTTTTCTGTCCATCTCAGACAAGAAAATTCATCGACCTGGGCGGAAATGAAAAATCGCCGGCGTCAATTAATCAATCCGCTCTGCCCACGCTCTATAGTAAATTCCGCTCTATATTTCCTCGGTGAATTTGAGTAAACCAAACCGCGAACCACCATGAATTTTTGTAAGCCCAGATTTTCATGTGGACGTATATTGTCGTCACCCCTGTTCATCCAGACGTCCATCCGTCCGTCCATAATTGTTTGTGGACAGTCTACAGGTCACAATTTTTATCCGATTTCAACGAAACTTGAAATATAGGTTTATCTCCCTCGATATTGGCATGTATCGGATCGTAACTTCATGGATTATGGCCCCTGATTGTATGAAAAATCGCGTTTTTAGCTTGTGGACATCACAATTTTTATCCGATTTTATTGAAACTTGAAATGTATGTTTATAACCCAAAGATCTCGGTTCCTTTCGATATTCACGCATATCGGACCGTAACTTCCTGAATTATGGCCCCTGATTGTACGAAAAATCGCATGTTTAGATTGTGGACCCTATAGAGGTCATAATTTTTATCCGATTTAAAAAAACATTTTTGTATATCACCGTTACACCCTAAACATGGTTGAGTTCGAATTTCATGAAAATCGGACCCAAACTGACAGACAAAATGGCCGCCCCTCGTTCTCAAATAGCGTAAAAATATGGTATATCAAGGTTGTGGACCCTCTAGAGATCACAATTTTCTTCTGATTTTGATGAAACTTGAAATGTATGTTTATAACCCAAAGATCTTGGTTCCTTTCGATATTCGCGCATATCGGACCGTAACTTCCTGAATTATGGCCCCCCCCCCCCGATTGTACGAAAAAACTTGTTTTTAGCTTGTGGACCCTATAGAGGTCATAATTTTTATCCGATTTTAAAAAACGTTTTAGTATATTACCATTACACCCTAAGGATGGTTGAATTCGAATTTTGTAAAAATCGGACCAAAACTGACAGAGAAAATGGCCGCCTCTCGTACTCAAATAGCGTAAAAATATGGTATTTGAATGTTGTGGACCCTCTAGAGGTCACAATTTTCTTCTGATTTTGATGAAACTTGAAATGTAAGTTTATAACCCAAAGATCTTGGTTCCTATCGATATTCGCGCATATTGGATTGTAACTTCCTGAATTATGGCCCCTGATTGTACAAAAAATTGCGTTTTTAGCTTCACGCCCCTTTAGAGGTCACAATTATTATCCGATTTAAAAAAAAATCGTTCAAATATATCCCCGTTACACCGTATTGTTTTTAGCTTGTTTTCTATCCATCTCTTGTTAAATGTGGGCGTATCCTGCCTGGCAGCCGCTGGTTTTTGTTACTGTTAAAGAATCCGGTCGGCACCGGAAGTGACATCATTTTACCAAAAACTACAATTTTGAGAGTTCGGTACCACTTTTTGAAAGCAAATATTATTTTTTTTCCAATCTGGTATAACTGAAAGGGTGCGCCCTTTAAATGAAACTTTAATTACATGTTTATAACCCAAAGATATTGGTTCCTTTAGATATTAGCGCGTATAGGATCATAACTTCCTGAATTGTGATCCCTCTAGAGGTGACAATTATTATCCGATTTAAAAAAAACGTTAAAATATATCACCGTTACACCGTAATTTTGATTGAGTTCGGGTTTTAAAAACCGTATAACTCATTTTTATCCTACTATCGCCAAGTGTCGACATAATTAGCTACTGAATTACCGCCGGCTTACGCCACCTGTCACTGACACTAGGGACCGGGTATCGTCCAGATCTTACGAAAAAAGGAAAGAAACTACGCTTATCATCTAGAATTTAATACACATATCCAGCTCATAGATTGCCATCAAGAATGTGTTAAATACCGTCAAGATTCATCAAAAACCGCCTAGTTTGTGCTACTGTGTAGATTAAGAAACACCGTTTACTTTTGACATCGATTGTCTGCTTTACGACCGTCCAGTTTCTCGGGATGTTTTTTAGAAATGAACACTACCATATAGATTTGAAAGGGGTTTAGTTTTTAGACAAGGCCTTTATTTTCCCAGACGTTGTCAAGAAATGAACAGAGAGTTTAAGAGCGTGTCCGCGAGAAAACCATGCAGAAGGTGCTAAGGCTTCAATCACAGATTTTGACCAAATTTGGTTTATAAGTTAGGATAGTCCCAAAACACATAAATGTGCAATATTAGATAAATCTTTCAATTCCTGTATGAGAAAATTGAAAAAAACATTTTTCATATGGTGAAATTGCCAAAATCTGTCTTTTCTCAAATACCAACTTTGGCAAGTCCTTACACCTTTACTATACGTAGCTGAAAGACCAAACTCACACAGTTTATCGATGACTCAGTGCTGTTACCACAATATTAACTTCAGAAGATTCTGGCGAACGAGATTTGTATACGGACTGGATATCAAAGCCTGTCTAAATTCCCCATTTTTCGTCACCCAAAGTTTGACGCCCTATAGTAAAGTTACTTCTTTTATGGGGTGGGTTTAAAAAATTTATGCTCACGTGAACAAGCAACCTCCCAACATTTGATACAAGAAATAAAAATGACCGGAATCGACTTGACAAAAACTAGGTAAAGGAATCAATAACCCATGAAATTAATCTGTAATTTCCCTATTTTGGAGATAATTAACCGTAGTAAATAAAAAATAACTAACAATTTATTTTCCTTTTCATTCATATGGTGTTTACTACCAGCCCTAAAATACATTAGTATCAGTTTTATAAAAATATCTTGAAAAAAAATACTTTCAAAGGCCTGTAATCGTTCATGGCTCATCTGGCGTCGACTGGAATTGACTTCCGCAGTTGTCCACGACCTTCCATTGGAGTTTCGACGTGCTCAATCTTAACAAACATATCCATTACTCTCAAATAGACATTATTTTAAATAAAATAATCCAACGAAAATGAAAAATTCACCTAAAAGTGAGATTCGAACCACCAACCCCATGACTTCCCCCGACCCACCCTCTCACCGAGTTTCTTGTCCCAGGGCCCCAAGGTCCATGTCGTGGGCCCTGTTCAGGGGATTTGCCTAGGGCCTCTCTTATTCTAAATCCGGCCCCGAGAGCTGTAGCTACCATACTACACTGTTCAATGTCACCCACTTCGACGCAATTAGGCTTCGTTGCCGTTAATATTTTAGCTTCCACATTTCTGTATTTTAGAAATCAGTGGATGTGTCCCAAAATGAATAGTGGAAACATGCTCTGAAATTAAACATTTTGTAGCCATTTTCGGTAACTTGTTTGAAAATGAAATCGTAAAGAGACAATACAACAAATATGTTAAAGGGACAATACGACAATACCAAATATACAATAAATACAAATACACACTTATATAGAGTACAACATGGTACAAATAATGGCTATGGATATGATGAAAACTTATAAAAGTCAAAAAATTTATTTCTCTAATTAAATTTGCAAAAAAATGTATCACGAAAGCTTATTTTTAGCACTTTTCAATAAGCTGTATATTTTAAGTATGTTGCATTCCGATCATTTTTTTTACACCTATGGATACTATGTGCTTAGCACTTCAAAACCATCCAAAGAAATTCTACTTGCGACCATGAAAGAAAAGGTTACAGTGTATCTTTTTCTGCACTATAAGGACAATGTGAATATGGTACCCTAAAACAAGTCCACACAAAATTAGTATGTACTGATTTTTTTTTTCAAATTAGTGCTGGGGTAGAAGTTGACCACCCGCTTTATCAGACAGGGTCAAAATTAGAAGGTTGCTATTCCACCATATAATGCAGTCTGTGCTTAAAAAGGGTGATAAATACACATGTGAAAACCGCAATTTTACCCATAAAATGAATAATTCCCGTACAGTCTTTTAGAGCGACATCAGCCTGTAACCACTTCAGCATGTTACCTCTTGCCCCTAGGGGGTGTCATACCATAAGTTTGATCAAAAACTTCCGACCCCCCATCTTAGCACTTTTTGCGATTTTTGCATGGTCTTCTCGCGGATACACTCTTAATTACTTAAGGCGTTCAGATTTTACGCCAAATTAGCACTTTACCGAGAGCCGTCTAGTAACTTATGGTGAGTAGTAATGCAATGCCATTTACTTTTCATGTCTTGTAATTAGTTTGCCCAGTGTCATCTAGAAAACTTAAGGCATTTGTTTTTTTTATGAAATATTTAATTTCTATCTCCCAATTTTAGAAACTATGTTCAGATTTAGAATCTGAGTATAGTGTCTAAAATTCTCGAATAAATTGCATATTTGTTGAATATAG